TCAAACTATGGAAGTAGTCACTTAAAAGGGCCAAGGTTCAATTAAAGAAACAAACAAGCAAAACAAAACCCATGAGCTGTAGGGAAGGTTCACTGGACACTGGGTAAGACTGAGCACTGCTCTTGCAGAGAGAGAATCTGAGTTGTTACCAGCACCCACATCAGGAGGCTCACAACTCCCCCTCCCCCCAGCTCCAAGGGACCCAATGTCTCTGCTCTCCAAGGGTACCTGCACTCACATGTACACAGTGTTCTTAACTATTGAATATAAATAAGGTAGGAGTAGTAGAACAACAAATAACAAAGTCAATCATCTAGGAATGGAGTGGAAAATGAGTTTAATTATGGACTGGGCAGGATAGAGAATAGTTTAACCAATTTATTTTGACAGTGCATCACCACTCCACACAGTCTGATCAATTTACAGTAACATTTTAAATATTTGGCACTGGGGTGTCCTAGTTTCTTCCTTCCAAATCCTTAGTAATTAGGAAAAACTTGTTAAGAATATTCTAAAATGATTTCTCCAAAAGGTTTTTATAAGCTTCATGACATTCTTTCTGATCACACAAAGGATATGTCTTGATTTAAGTTTATACAGTCTCTGCTGGGTAATACTGGACAACTCTGATGACATGCCCCAAAAGAAAGACTTCCATGTTTACAGCACTAGCAGACCCCACTGAAACCTTTAAGTCATCCCCACCTGGGTGTAAATATCTTCTAAGGGGTTCTTTATCCATTTCCTTAATTTTTCAATCATAGAAATCAACACAAAATATCTTCAAACCCATCATAAATGCCAACATTATATCTTTTATTTTCTATCATGTAATTTAGCTAACAGAACAAGACATTCAGCATGAAAAGACAATACTAAGCTCATGTCTGCAGAGCAGTCCATTGAGGTGACGAACACAATGTGCCATTCTAATACCAATTTCTCTTTTGTTCTTTGTAATGACAGTTCAAGTGTATTTTCAAGATTTTTCACTTGTAAACAACATGAATCAAAATTGACTAAGAGGTAATCATCTAAGCACTAGAAGATAATTTTAAAATACTAGATAAAACACTGTATTAAAGACATAAAGAAATCAGGGTTCACTTTGGTCTTTATATGGCTAAAGTTGTTACCACTACAAAATCAACACATATGAATTAGAGCCAGCTTGATGGTGGGTGCCTGTAGTTGATAAACGTTAAGTGATTGAAGAGGTAGGTAGTCAACACCATCCTTTTCAAGCTGGGAACTGACAAGCGGTAAGCCACAGGTGTATTAAGTATTGGAGTACTTTCTCACAGTACAGTACTTTGTTCCAAGCATAAGATCCACACTGAGTCATAGGTTACCCTCTCACTAGGTCACAGCTCACACAGGCACATCAAGAAGAGGCTGTTGACTATGTAAGACAGAACTGGATGCTCTCAATAAGTTGTTCTTTATCTAAAACAAATAAATCTCATCAAGACATCTAGAAAATTAAAGTCGGCGCAGCTGCACTTGCACAGAATTTCCTGGGTTTTACCACAAACGTGAATTACATATATATTTTAAGATAAACATTTCTTAGAGAAAACAGATAAATTAATTTAAATTAACTTTAAGACTTAATGAGATTCCCCACATCCTGGCTAATTCATCATACAGTGAATGTTACAAAGTCTATTAACACTTTGGGGCTTCTATTCACAAAGACACACACCCAGCAGCAACTCAGGCCTGCACTGGTGCAAACTAAATCTGAGGCAGAGTATAAAAATAATGGGAATAAAAACACCTTATTGTGGGAGGTGGACTGACGCTGATAACGTGATGTCTTCTATCTTTTCCTTTAGATTGCACACTAAAGTTTCCAAGTTATAAGCAGATTAAAAATCTTCCTAAATCTTTCATTTGTAAAAATACATCCAAAGACTAGAAATGCAAGTATAAAAATGTCTCCACAATGACCTGCTGTGTAGAGAATGAATAGTTCACAGGCTAAAAGGCTGGTAGTGCATCCTTTTTAGGAATTACATCTGTGTTGACATGAGGGGAAGGTCAAAAGGTGGCTCAATTCATAGACCGTCACCCCACTATTAGGAACCCCTGAAAAAATGGTGCTCCACAGACCCCTTTCCCTCCTGGCTCGGAGTGGCATTGCACTTTAAGTTACCTCCATGGCAGGCTGGTACTGGCTAGTTACATGCCTGGGGCTTGTAATGCTGCAGTATGCTTTGCCTTCGGTACAGCAAAGGTCCAAGTGAAGGGAGTAGGAATCTTTGATACCACTTGTCAGCAAAGTACAGATACCACATTAGCTTCTGTTAGCCCTCCTGCCCCCAGCTCTGGGCAACAGAGCTATTTTTGAGATTGTTTCTGTGATGTTTGCTAAAGATATAGAGTGCATATCTTCCCTAAACTCAATACATGATGACTCTGAGGAAATGCTTGGAGACTTTGCTCCCTAACATGAGAAGTCCTATTATTCATGGGCATTTCTGCAAACTATCTATGCTACAGATTAAAGTGTCTGTACCAGAGAACTAGCAGCAGCCTGCAAGGCTGAAGCAGCAGCAAGGTGTGCTATGTAGTAGCTAGGAGGTAGCTGTTTGCTGTAAACAGAGTGTTTCACTTGTGTGAATGAACAATGTGCTCATATCAGTGACTTCACATCTGCAAGGAGGGGAGGAGTTTCACTTTACAAGACTTTTCACATGGAATAAAAACAGGAGGACCAATATCTGATATTCAGAATTATGACCAATGTCAAACTCAGAGGTAGTTACCAACAAGTACATGCATGCACATAATGACCTAATTTATTTGGCTTGTTTTGAGTAAGCAGGACTATAGACGAGTCTGTAAAGAAACAATAAAACATTATATTGTATGTTCCCTGAGCAAAGTTCTTTGTCCTGAGCATGTAATTGTGACAATATTTTCATATAAAAAATAAACCCCAACTTTTAACCACAAGATAGGTTTGGTATGTGCTCTTAGTAATTCAGTCTGGTCAGATGCTGAAAAATGTCAACTGCACCCATAAGGTCCAAAATTCAAGTGTTTCAGAATTGTCTACTTTCACTTTTAAAAATGATCTCAGCCCTGAATTTTCAAATGTAAACAGAATTTCCAATTTTCAAGTCCTTAATTTCCTATTTCTATAGTAAAGGAACTTTGGTTTGACTTTCAAAGTGACCTACCATATTTTGCTTGTACAACTGTTCCTTTGTTCACTATACTTGGGTGACGCTTTCAATTGTCTACATAATTTAAATAAGTTTGCCACCCTTACGTAAGGCAAGGCAGTACTTCTCTATGGCTACATCACATTCAGTATCGTCAACTGTAAGCTCTGCACCGCAGCACATGATACATCAATAAAACACTATGGAAATTCTCATAAATACTGACAAGAAATTCAGGAGGACTGGCATACAGGAGGAAGGAACTCCTCAGTAGATTGCATCTCATTTGAGTCAGGATGCTTTCTTGTTTGATTATCTGAGCATATACCAACAGGCCCATATAAACTTATGCACTGCAGTTCTTGGTAGCCTGGAGGTGTTTCAAGTCTGCTCATCACATTTAGAACCAGGCTAACTCCATGTTTTAACATGATGAAAAACAGACCTATATTCTGATCAGTCCCTACCAGTCTTTGAGCAAACTGAGAACCATCTGAGATGACTCTCATCAATAGCCCTGAGTGCTCACCCAGAATCCTTAGTGAGGTGACGTTAGCTTCTATACTTAAGATAACTGCCATGGCACCGATGTTATCATAGAAAGTATTTCTAGCCACATGGCAGTGGGAGGCCTGGTAACTCTGCTCCAGGCTTGTCATTCTAGCTGTCTGCCACCAAACACTATTCTTTTGAGTATCAATCACTGGCTATCTGTCGGCAAATGTGAGCATCTACTTAATTTTCATTCTAAGCCCCGCTATGTTCTTCATTCCTATGGTGCTTTGTTTGTTTCAGAAATACTCTGAGGACTCTATGGGGGGAATAAAAACAGCCACCAAAATATACTTGAATAATGAGTTTTCCTCTAAGGCTTCAGTAGTAAGGAGACCTTCCTGTTCTCAGTGATGGTTCAGAAGCTATTTAGCCAAGGGAAGCTTATGTTGCCATAGTCCCTTAAACACCTCAGACACTTGTAAAGGAGCTGGTATCAAAACACCACTGGAAAGTGTCACTGCACGATATTTCTACATTACCCTCCCCTTCATTTTTTTTAATAGGCATGTAAATTACAATCAAAACAGAATAAAAGATACTGAAATATCAGCCCAGAAACTTCACATTCACAGTCTTTTCTGGAGTTATATATCCAAAAATTAAAAGCTTATGGCAGTCAGAGGCATTAGAGTTAAGTTACCACCTTCAAACAGAAGGCAGATAACAGCAACAGCAAAACACTCCATCAGCACCAGGACACAGTGATGAATCCAGACTTGGGAGGCACTGAGTAGCCCAAACCCTTTAGTACCATTTGACTGGCAGTCTGAGATCTGAAGCATGCTTTGGTTCACATGAAAGGTAACAGTCAGGACGTTATTTTATGCAATATAAAAGAAGTGGTATTTAGGAAAAAATCCAAGGGTTAACTCTGAAACCATCTCAAATGCTTCACATGGACTTTCAGTGCTTGGAGACGCCCAATCATCTGTGGCAGAGTATGTGCTTTTATCTCCATACATACGTGTATAAAGACAGGCATATACGTACACATATATATGCCTGCACTCCTATGTGAAATCCTCACACACACACACACACATACTCACATCTCCCCTTTCGCTTATACACTTACTATTTATAGTATCTCAAGTCTGTAAAACATGACACCCTGCTTAAATGTAATTTGCTTAAGAGTGATTTGTCTGATTAAAAATTCCCACTTCCTCGGCAGTAGTTAGAATCCCGGTCAGCTGCTCTCTGTGGAATGCTATTCCCCTGTGCTTGTGTGAGGTAGACTTCCCAACCGGGTGAAGAGAACGTTGACAAGTATTAAGTTTTCTTCCGTTTTTGAATTGAAGGCCCCTTTTTGTTTTGCTCTTCTGGTGCCTTCAGGGAAGAAACTTCCTGGGGTGACCTGTCTGAAAGCTCTGCCAGCTCTGACCTCGCCTCCTGAGGAAACGGTGATGTGCAGCCACGGTCCCCTCCCACTTCTCTCGGCGAAGTAGAAGTGCACGGCTGGGATTCTGCTTCCTGTCTTTCCTGAGAGCTGGTGGACAGCTGTGCGACAACTCTGTGTGGGCAGTTTGCCACCATGTGCATGATGCTCTGACAGTAATGGCACTTCTTTGGCTGAGGAGGTAGACTACATTCTTTAGCATGATGGTCAAGGCCACCACAGTTATAGCATCTGCAAAGAAATATGAGAAAAATATCTTAAAAGTAGGTAGAGTGCATAATTAGTGAAAAAGCAGTGATTATTAAAATAATAATTTACATAGACATCAATTTTAATTACCAAGGTTCAAAAGCTGTCAAAGAGATCAGTTTATTTGAATATGACTTCTTTATATGTACTATTTCTACTGTTTATACTGATTGCTTCAAGGGTCATCATCACCAAAACCTTCCAGCAACTTTACAAATCAGTTGCGTTAAACACAACAGCTAGCAAAAACAAAGGCACCCAGACATGGCAAGTATTTCCATACAGGAATGAGTCATTCAAATTTAATGGGCTATTGTGAAAGAATAGTTTAACCCACTAGATGGCAGTCAACAATAAACCAAAAAACCACTAGCTGGGTTTAAAAATGAGTATAAAAATAGAGCTGTTTGCCGTGATAGGAATTAACTTGCTCAGCATTTAGGAAAATTACAGACTGAATTAAGCTTTATGACTTAAAGACTTCAGTGTTTATTATTTTATTCATGGAAGCTAATAGAACTGAAATAATTTTTTGCCACTGTATAAAATTTACAAGGAAATTTGATACCTAAGCTATCTAGTAAGAAAAAAAAAAAGTGTTCAGTGAATTACTCATTTTGAGGCAAGATAGTGAGAGTCTGAACCACAACAATGCTGCAAAGAAGCCTCCGATGGGGGAAGACAAATCAGTTTGGTCTGATGCTTGTTGGTGACTGGAAAAGTTGATTTTTAACTAGCTTCGCCTTAGAGTAAACTTTCCTAAACTGAAGTAAGCATAAGCCTCATTCTTATTTGTTACTAAAATCTGAAGGTAATCTGAAGACATGGATAGGGTTGCATATTAGATGCTGGAAAATTCATCTTCTAAAATCTGAGTAAAGAAATAAATTTGCTCAATTTCAGTCATAATTTCCCTTTTTAAAACAACACAGTTTTAAAAATGGAGACATGGGGGCTGGAGATACAGTTGGTAGCTAAAAGCACTGACTGCTCTTCCAGAGGATCTCAGTTCAATTCCCAGCACCCACACAGCAGCTCACAACTATCTGTAACTCTAGTTCCCGGGAATCCAACACCCTCCAAAACAAACAAAACAAACAAACCAAACAAAACACACAAACAAAACACCAATGCACATAAAAAATAAAAAGGAATTAGCAAAAAATGGAGACACTAAGAAGCACTTATATTTTAAAAAGTTTTGATTTGTGTCTTAAAGATTGTAATTGCTCACTGATTTTTTCCAAATTAACTGTTTCAAGAGGTTTTTATATTAAATTACTTTACAAATACACTTATAATTCCATATTTCTCGTTATAAAGCACATTATAATTCAGTGTTTTTTAAAAAATAAAGAACAAAATATGTGACAGATATAAAAAGTAGTTTAAGACCGTATTACAACAAAAATCTTGACTAATTATATTTGTATGTTTACAATAAGTAATTAGTAACTTAATTATTTTACATTTCAAAGACAAACTACTAGTAAAATAACAAGCACTGTATGTAGATACTCAGTATTTTATTTTCTAGAATCAGTTATAAAGAATGAATTTTCTCAAGTAGCAGAAGTTACGGTTAACCATCGTCTGCTTCTCCATTAGTCAACACGAGCATTTATTTGTTTATTTGATATATATGCATGCTCTATATGTGTGTATAACTATTTCATTAGAGGGTATCAGATCCCACTATAGATGGTTATGAGTTGCCATGTGGTTGCTGAGGAATTGAACTCAGGTCCTCTGGAAGAGCAACCAGTGCTGAGCCATGTCTTCAGTTCCTTGTCAATATTATCTTACAGAACAGACAGGATGGGATTGTATTCTTTGTAATGATCAATAGGCATTTATTTATCTTAATAGACTGTACCATATTTCCAAAAAAGGGAAAAGTCAAGAAATAAGTAATCTAGTTATATGCTGCTCAAATACACACACCATAGTAAATTAACAAGCACTGCAATTCAGAAACAAGTACCCCACACATGACCTAATGATGTGTGGAAATAATGAAAATTACCAGCCAATCTTGAAATTCAGGCCCCCAAAATAGACTAGGAGTGGTCGTCTCCACTCTCCGAGCTTCATCATGCCGCCCAAGGATGACAAGAAGAAGAAAGATGCCGGGAAGTCGGCCAAGAAAGACAAAGACCCAGTAAATAAGTCTGGAGGCAAGGCCAAAAAGAAGTGGTCCAAAGGCAAAGTTCAGGACAAGCTCAACAATCTAGTCCTGTTTGACAAAGCTACATACGACAAACTCTATAAGGAAGTGCCCAGTTATAAGCTTATTACTCCAGCTGTGGTCTCTGAGAGATTGAAGATTCGAGGTTCCTTGGCCAGGGCAGCCAGTCAGGAGCTACTTAGTAAAGGGCTTATCAAGCTGGTTTCAAAGCACAGAGCCCAAGTAATTTACACCAGAAACACAAAGGGTGGAGATGCCCCAGCTGCTGGTGAAGATGCATAAACAGGTTCAATCAACTGTACATTTGGAAAACTAAAACGTTATTAAATAAAAAAAAAACAGACTAGAAAACGTCACTTATGAATATGACCCATTACTTACTGAACTGTTTACCCATATAGTTTTCTTCTATAAGGAGTAAAGAAATTCTTAAATTAAATTTGCCTTTGCCCACCTGTAAGATATTTTTTTTTCACTACATTCCTGTCCTGAGGCCAGAGTACAGCCAGGAGTTCATTTTCAAAGACAGAAAACAGTAGGCCGACTAGGAATAGAGCCGCCTCCTGCATGCACAGCAGTCTCAGTCCCTGTGGTAATGCACACCCTTCTCCAATTCAGGGAGTCATTCTGCCCACTCAGTGAACAAGGGCCTGGATGTCACAGAACTATGTTTACAAATGGAGTCTTAGACCATCATGTTTTGTGTGCCTGATTATAAAGTTATTTTAAAGAAAGACACACTGTTTTAGTTTCCCTGCATTTCAATGTACACATTACCTGTTGGGTTTCAGGTGTGTTAGCATTAGGCTCTATGGCCTTTCACACTGGATGGTGAGCATTCACTGTATATATGTGTTGCAACAGCAACTGCTCTTTCTGAGCGCAGATCACAGCCCATTATGAAACCCTTCCATCCCAATGACATCAGAGTGCTAATGTTCAGCTCATAGATGATACTGTAGCCACACATGTGAAACATGCTGTGTGGGGTCTAGACCCCTTTGTCCACATTTTATACTTCTCCAAGTCAGTTTTTCTGCTAATTAGAATGGATTTTATATTGTGATGTGGGTATCAAAATAGTAAGTGTGACACAACAGCTACAAAGCTAACAAATACAGGGGCAGAAAGTGTCCTGATCAAAGGATATACAAAGAAAACTATAGTCATAGTTTGTTATAAATTCTAACAGCCTGACCTAAAAATTAAAATTATCTGTTTGTCTAGCATGCAGGAGGCCTTAGAGCAGATCCCCAGCAGCGTTTTAAAAAAAATTTAAACCTAATAACTCACCTATGTTCAGTATGTTATAAAATGCTGAGCCAATGGCACAAGGTAGGTAGACTTTCTTATACATTAAGCATCTTTAATCTTTATTAATGAAATGTCCAGTTTAATTTTAGAACATTATTCTTCGTGGAATCATTTGATAGATACTTTAACTCCAACGAAGTAGCATACATTTTATAAGTTTTACTTACTATAGTTTAGAAGATTTTAAAGATGGAAGATAAATAACAGTCAATATTTTTAAGACTGCCAAATTAAGATTAAAATTTCTAGAAGAGGGCTGGAGAGATGGCTCAGAAGTTAAGAGCACTGCCTGCTCTTCCAAAGGTCCTGAGTTCAATTCCCAGCAACCATATGATGGTTCACGACCATCTGTAATGAGATTTGGTGCCCTCTTCTGGCCTGAAGGCATACATGCAGGCTGAACACTACACATAATAAATAAATAAATCTTTAAAACAATTTCTAGAAGACCTTACATGGCAAAATTAAACAAAAAAATTCACAAACCTCTTAAGACTTCAAAATTATTTAATTCACTGCATTATGAAATAAGCAATTGTATATATAAATATATCATTAAAGCATATCCAATTTTCTCGTGATTTTTTTTTAAATGAAAACTTTGATTTGGAAATCAGAATTTAGAAGTAACTTACTCTTGGGAAACTTATCTTACATAAATGAGAAAGTAATTTTTTTTAAAGAAAAAATTGATTTATGGGGCTGCAGAGATAGGTCAGTGGTTAAGAGGGTACTGCTCTAGCAGAAGACCCAAGTTCTGGTCCTCATAATCATGGTGGGAGGCTCACAGCCTCCTGTAACTCCAGCTCTAGAAGGATGGGAGACTTGTGGCATCTACAGCAGCTGAACTCACTTACACAGACCCATACACACATAACAAAAAATAAAATCTTCAAAAAGATTTGTTTTTATTATGTGTATGCATGTGTGCCTGCATGGGTGGGTGTGTGTGTGTGTGTGTGTGTGTGTGTGTGTGTGTGTTTGTGTGTGTGTGTGTGTGTGTGTGTGTGTGTGTGTAGGTGCCCACAAAGGCCAGAGACATCAGATCCATGGAGCCAGAGTTGCAGGCAGTCCTGAGTCATTTGATGTGGGTGCTGAGGATAGAACCCAGGTCCTTTAGAAGGTCAGCAAGTGCTCTTAAACGCCAAGAAAGAGGTAGAGGAAAGGCATAGATAGAACTCCCAGGAAAGGAAGATGAGAAGAACCAATGAGCCACTCGGCCGGAAAGGGGACTTAAGAAAACCAGACTGGAAAGTACTTCAGGGACTCAACTGTAGAAAGCTCTCTAAAGGGACCCTTTCCCATTTTCATTTTGATCACAGTTAAATAAGATCCACAAACAGGGGGCAGAGGTCCTGAATTCAATTCCCAACAAGCATCTCACACCTGCCTCTGCCTCCAGAGTGCTGGGGTTAAAGGTGTACGCCAGCACTACTGACTACTTGACTTACAGTCATTCACTTTAATCACATATTTAAGA